CGGTGGCTGGGCTTGTGGCTCACCTGCTTTCCCTGCAGCCCTGGAGGGAGAGGAGGGTGCAGCAAAAACACCATGTGATCCCAGCATGGCCCTAATGGAGAGAGACGTTGGCTGAAGTCATTTGGAACGGACTGGTTTTGGATTCACCCCTTCACTTATCGGCTAATAGGCCTCAAAGGGGGGATTTACAGTAATTGGCAAGGACCCTAAAAGAGCGAGATACTGCACTGTCCTGGGGTGGATCCTGTAGGAGGGCCAACCTAAAATGCTGCTGCAGGATCCATTTACTTTTGCACTAATTGCATTTTCTCCAACCTCAGCTTCCTGATCCTGTGTGCACAGGCTCTATGACCCTGCTAAGCGCAAGGAAACAGGAGGCTGTGTGGAAACGAGTGTTGAGTAAGATGGGGGCTCTACCAAGGAGCAGCCCCAGGAATCAGGAGGGATAACTGGGGTCACCCCTCCCCCGGCCTGCAATGGCTCAGGCCTCACGTTCCCCTTGGTCCTAAGTGCTTTTGTGGCCCCCATCACCGTACCTAGATGCCACTTAAAAAAAATCTACGATTTCCTGCCCTTCATTTCATGCACCTGCCTTCCCTCTCCTACGTTCCCAGCTGCTGCTTTGCCCCGGGTGCTGCGACAGGCTTCGCTGCTGTCCCACCCCATGCTGCTTGCACAGCCATGGCCCTTGTCCTTTCTGCACTGGGGGGCTCCTACCTCCTTTCATAGGATAATGGCTTGTTCAGTGGGCCTATACATAGAAACCCGTCATCCCGGCGCCTCAGACAGACGCTCCCTAAAGAGGACAAATCCAGGGATTGTTTCCCACTACCCTGATGGCAGAGAGGCTCCCTGGAGAGGATTTGTAATTTCTTTCTTTCTTTCTTTCTTTCTTTCTTTCTTTCTTCTCAGACTGAAGTGCCCGCTATTCCCTGACCTCCGGCAGTAGCCTGGCGTCTCTTGCTAGAGGGTTCAACGGCTTCAGATGCTTCCCCCCCCACCCCCCCTTCCCCTTTCTCCAGGAGCTGGTTCGTACTGGTCACATTTTTGCAGCCAGGCTGTTGAGTCCAATTAGATGTGGGTCCCTGACTGCAGTGTGAGAGCTGTGAGGCGGGAGCGGGGCCTTGGGGCAGCCAGGGAGCTGTAGTGGAGAGCCTTAGCCCAGTGTGTGGAAAGGTACTGTCCTGACAGCTGCACCACTCTGGAAGGGGGGAGAGCAACTGCGAATACTGAGAAGGGCTGATGTGGGTGAAGCAAAGCAAGGATTATGTGTGTGGGGGCAGAGAGCTGTGCCATTTGGGTCTATACAGAAGGGCCCCTCTCCCTGCCTAGGGAAATGCTACTGTCTAGCAGCTGCACTGAGAAACCTCAGTAGGGAAGCGTCAGCCTGTTGATGTGGTTAATTCTCCCAGACAACGACCCCTAACAAAGTAATTGGCGTTTGCCAGTTTTCTGCAGTGAGCTCACTCCCTGCATCTGCCCACAAGAGCCAAGCAGGGACGCTCCAAGCATCACGTTGACTCTCTGAAGTTCATTCCGCCAAGCTGCACCTGGCCAGCTTTGGGGAAAACTGGACCCCAGGCAGCAGGGTGGTGTGATGAATGCAGTGCTGCACGGGCATGAACCACAAACCAGCATGCTAAGGATTCAAGGGCCTTGCAGTGGCTCTTTGCATTGTTCCAGACCCAGGCAGGAAGCAAACCTGAGCAGCAGTCAATCGGGGGGCTCCCTCACGGCATGGTGCAGGAGGATTCTTTCACTCTCCTGACAGCCTGGCACCGATGTAGTGGCTGGAGGACAGGGGTGCACAAGAGGGGTGGGCACTGGGTGCCTGGGCAGCACAGAGTTGAATTGAGTCTAATTTCCTTTTCATAATTCTAGGGTTTGCTATAGTGCTTACCTGCAGCCACCTGGCAGACTGTCAGTTCTCCACCCAGCACTGCTGGGTGGGTGCTGATCACACAGGATTAATGTAAGATCAATCTGCTCTAAGGTCATAGCCAGGTGGAAATCAAACAGCTAGCGACTGAAGCCTGCGGCGAGTGCTGACAAAGCGGTTCCTAGCAAGTCAGGCTTCAGCTTTTCAGAAGCTAGCGGGATTTTCCTGGTAATTTTTGTCCTTTTCCTTTTTCGTTATGAAAAATATGTCAGTGTTGTCTGAATGGAACTGGAGCAAGAGGGTCAGGTTGCGTGAAGGACCTAGTTTGGTGCGATGGCAAGGGCTGAGATGTGCAAGCTTGGCCACGCTGCCCTAGACACACCCTGGCCTCTCAGTAAAGATCTCTTTCCCACAACGCTGCCTGCCTGCAGCATCCCTCGTTGCTGAGGGAACCAGCCCCCACGGCACTAGGATCCGTTTCCGTGGGCTGCAAAGCCAGCAGTGGGCGCACAATGTTGTTTGTATGTAGGCCCTTCGAAAATAGTATGCGTGCCCTTTGGATGCTGTCTCTTGATGTCAGAGCGGTGTGTGTCCATGTGGAGGGTCTGTCCCAGGAACACAGACGAGACACCAGCCTGTTAACATTTCCCCTGCTTCCCCTTTCCCACAGCTTAACTGCCACGTGCGCAGAGAGAAGGGATGCGTGGGGGTGGCGATGGGGTGACCCTTCCTAGCCTAGCAAAACCGCTGTTTGGCTGAGTGAAGGATCTTTGTGTTGGGGGCTCAGCAGAGGTGCCCCTTCCGGCATCCATGGCCAAACACTGTTGGTCTGAGAGTGAGACAATCAAGCAGTTGGGTTTGGTTTTCATTGCTATTTTGACCCCAAAGAAGGATTCCCCAACCCACCCACCTTGCTTTTGCCCCCTAATTTTTGCTAAGGTGTTTGTGAGTCGCATTTTTGGGCTCGGTCCAGCTCAATGTCTTTCCTGAAAGGACACTCTCCCTCTCTGCTCCTAAGGCTGCGGCAACCCCAAATTGCATTGTTCCCATCGGCGATGGGGCTGCTCTCCAGGGGGAAAACTAATGGGACATTTGGCACCTCAGCCACCCATGAAGACACCCTCAAAACCCCCACCTACATGCCTCCTTTCAGCCTCCATGGCTCTGGGACAGGAAGGCATCATTTTCTGTGTACAGCATCAGTAAATATAAAGGACTCTCGTGGCTTGCTGCAGGGTCTGCTACCACTTTGTGTTTCAGATTTTGTGTGTGTGCAAGAAACAACAAAAGCAGAATAGCCCACAACTTCTAGAGCTCCCGTGCTCTGTAGCCCTGTCTGGGGTGGCCGGAATAAAACATAGTAGTTTTAAGGGAGGAAAAAATGGATGTTTTTTCCAGCTACAACAGCTGGAGAGTCGTTAGGTGATTGAATGTAGTGACCTAATAATTCGCATCTCTGCAAGCTGTGTGAGCGCCTGTGGCCCGGTTAAATTGCCACAGGATTTTTAATGAACACAAGTGATCAGGACCCACTGTTGCAGCTCATCTGAAGGCTCTTATGCCCAGTGGCACACTGGCCCCTAGTACCACACTGTGGCATTCATTCGGAACTGAATCCACATAGCCAGTTTGTTTGGCATCTCTCACCCTTGTAGTGACCCAGGTCAGATTCTTCTTAGCATGTGATTAGATCAAAAGCTGAAGTGGGGAGAAGGGCAGGTCTGGCCCAGTGCAGTCACCTCTAGAGAGCTGTTCCTCCAGTCCCAGGTGTGAAGGGCTCAGCCTGATGCAGGACTTTCCCAGTCAGCCAGAATTTTAAGCTACAGCAATTTGATCGCTGAGCTTAATGATCCAAAGAGGCAGTCAGACCTGCCAGGAGCAGTTGTAATGGCAGGAAGCCAATACAAGTGTGACTGCACCTCCCCAAGGAACAGCTCCTTCCGTGTCAAGAAATCCCTGGGGAAATCTCAAGACACGCTCCATAGTCATGATGTTGGGGGAAAAAATCAGCTGAAGCTGTTGCATGCGCCAGGGGAAGGAAGTGAGGCGTCCATGTGTCGAGTGAACGAAAGCCAAACTTTCTTCCATCTAATCAGGTTTGTTATTCAGCTGACAAACTCCAAATGGATTAGCTGGTCTCCAATCTTGTGATTTTAATTAGGAAGTCAGCAAGAAATGTAAATAAGTCACCCTTTGCTGGGCTAGGGTTTGCACAACAGCCGATGACGTTAAAGTAAGAGGTGGTGAAGCAGAGAGAAAAGAGAGATTGTCAGGAGAGAAGGAAACTAAGCAGAGCCCTTGATGCCATTCACTACTTCAGAAGCTTGCCTTCCAATCACTTTCCCTCCTGACTCAGCCCCGGTGCGTTCCCATACAGCTTCTCCACCCACTCCCCCAAAAAGCCAGTTTGGACTCAGGGTAAAAGGGATTTGAGGCCCCGCTCAAACATTCTGCTGGCAGTTGTGTGATGTTGGCCCCAATTCCTCGCACTCCCACCTGCGGGAAGGGCGGTCAGCACATCCCTCGGCCCACGCCGCTTCCCGCAGCCCCCATTGGCCTGGGACGGCGAACCGTGGCCAGTGGGAGCTGCGATCGGCCGAACCTGCAGACGCAGCAGGTAAACAAACTGGTCCAGCCCGCCCGTGGCTTTCCCTGGCGGGCCGTGGGCCAAAATTGCCGATCCCTGGTCTAATCAACGGCATGAGAATCTTCCAGCTTCAGTTGCCGTCACCGTGGCCTAGGATGTTGGTCCTTGTACTTGGATACAAAAATGACAGTTGGCACGGAAACGCCAGTCAGAGGAGAGGATCATTTTTGGAGTCTGACAATGGTCGCCCCAGTTGTTTGGTGAGCTAGAGGTGAAAGGCGTTTCACAAAAAGCACTTTCATGCTCCTTCCCCTCCACAATTTCAGTGTCATGCTAGCATTAGCTATTGTTTTCTAAAGGGTTAACAATCCCCCCCTTTTACTTACTGGGCTCCTTTTGCTGCTTTTAACTAAGACTCTTTTGTGGCTAGCATCACACTTAATCCCCTAGCAACAGGCTGCAGCTGTCACAGCCACTGGCAATCACTTTTGAATTGCTTTTCATGCCGGAGCAAGAATAAAGACAAAGGAGAACTTCTTTTGTTTTGCTTTGATCAAAACGCTCCACTCTCGAATCCCCCCACCCTTGTTTTTAAAGTGCCAGAGCCAAGGGTAACATTCGAGTTCACAAACAGCATTAGGGCTACAAAATTCCCATTAAACTATAGAGTAGAAATCCCCATTCATGAATACAGTGAGCTGGGTTTACAAGGGGCTCTCTTGTTAGCTAGTTCTATGGACCCCCCTCCAGCTAGTAGCTTAGCATCTCACCAGTATGAGCGTGTTTATCCTCACAACCCCCTGTGAAGTAGGGCCCTGCTATTATTCCCATTCTACCAATGGGAAACTGAGGCACAGAGACACTCAGGCGCAGCTCCTCAAAGGTATTTAGGCACCTAACTCCCACGGGCTTGCCCGATGTCACACACAGACTCCGTAGCTCAGCCAGGAATTGAACTCATGTCTCTTCAGTCTCAGTTAAGTGCTTTAATCACCCTTCTTCCCTATCTAGCAATGGTATCACAGCATCTATACACACAGTGCTGCATTGTTGGATGCTCCAGTAACGGAGAACTCACAAAATTCCTCGCCTAGAGCGACCAGCTTACTGCAATCCTGACCCTGGGGTGTGTGCGGCACTAAAGGTGACTGACATACTCCGGTGATGAGGGCCGGCTTAGAACCTCCAGAGAAAAGCAGGAAAGCTATTCCAGAGTAGCACCAGGAACCTGTCCCTATGACAGTGTAGAGCAGGGGTGGACACACTTTTTGGCCCGAGAGCCACATCTGGGAATAGAAATTGTATGGCAGGCCATGAATGCTCATAAAATTGGGGTTGGGGCATGGGAGGGGGTGAGGGCTCTGGCTGGGGCTGGGGTAGGGCCAGAAATGAGGCATTCAGGGTGCAGGCAAGGGCTCCAGTTGGGGGTGCAGGCTCTGGGGGGGGGCTGGGGATGAGGAGCTTGGGGTGCAGGAAGGGCTGGGATTGAGGGGTTCAGAGAGCAGGGGCAGGGGATTGGGGCATGGGGAGAGGCTCAGGGGTGCAGGAAGCAGTGGCATGTTCCCTTCTCCGGCTCCTGCATGGAGGCGTGGCCAGGCAGCTCTGCATGCTGCGTCATCCACAGGCCCTGTCCCTTCAGCTCCCATTGGTGCGCCAGAAGGGGCCACTGGCATGCGTAGGAGCCAGAGGGGGGCCATTCCGGGAGCTGCGTGGAGCGGCCCCAGACTCTACTCCCCAGCGGGAGCTTGCTTAAAATGGCTAGTGGGCTGTAGTTTGCCCACCCCGGTGTACAGCTACAGTGGTCATTCAACATTCCTCTCAGCCTCATTAGCACCACAGATTCCCCTGACACCTGTGCTGTAACGTGGGCTGACCACCAAAGCTTATTTGACATGTTAGTCCTCTAAGGCCAGAGTCAGGCTCTGAGCTTCTCATTCTTGTCCCTTATTGCTCTCACTGATCGCTGCCCTGCAGAGACAAACAGTGGCAGGATAGCTGTGAGGTTCCTCTGGGTGTGTGCATGCTCATTTTAGTCTCTTGAGAAGTCAGAACAGCCCCAGCTCATGGGACTTTATTTCCATTCCTGCCAATGACTCATTGCCTTCACCTTGGACATGACACCTAACATGGTACCTGTTTCCCCAACTGTAAAGTCGCAATAATTACAGCTCGCTACGGTTGTGAGCCTAGCTGAACTGCGCAGGGCTGAGGCATCGCTTGGTGCCACCTATACTAAGAACCCTGTTTTTAGTCATAAAGCCCATTTGTTTGGGAAAGAAAACTCACACAGCCCTCCTCTCCCCCCCACCAAGGCTTCCCAGTTTTATTAAAGTTCTCAGACATCGGGGGAGAAACTACAATATTTAAATAAATCAACAATTCAGTCCATTCGTGAGGCAGCTGTGTAAAAAGTGTGTGCTCATCTTTACAGGGAAGGGCGCTCTTCCCTCCTGAAAGGCTTCTGTGTTTGAGGCCATGTCAAGGGTTTTGAGTGCATTGCACTATTTGGCTGGCTAGGCTGCAGCTTAAGCTAATCCACTGAAAACTCAGAGTATGCAAAGGCATGCTGGAGCCGCCATGCCTGTGGACAGCAGTGGTCTGGCTAGGTGCGGAAGAAGCTGTATTCCACGCTGTAAACAGTTATCAAAGAGCCCTAATCCATGATGGGAACAAGGCAGGTCACGGAGAATTAATGGGTACTTCATGTAAAACAAAATGCAGGCTGAGTGCACAGCCAAGTTGTGACTGCCCCGGCCTGCGGAGATCAGCCACCGAAACGTTAAGAGCTGCTTATGGGTAATTTATGACCAGCAACAGTGGCCGCTCTGCAGGCTGGGAGCAGGATACAGCAACCTCAGGGTGTGCCACTACAGGGTGGGAAATGGATGCTTTATCAATATTCCCCTCCCATAATTCACCTTGCCAATTGTGTGATACTTTACATTTGAAGCATCATGTATTAGGCACTGTTGAGGCAGGACACCCTTCTCAATGGACTGAAAAGCAGACCTGGTATGTAATTCTGTGTTCCTGTTCATCTGCTGATAACCCCCCCTTCCCTCCTACGCACCCAGTATTTAGGGGACGTAATAATACAGAGGAACGGCTCAGAGACCTGCTCTGAATGTGCAGCGAGTGTTATCCAGCTTTATCCAGCTTTCCAACATAATTAACCCAGATCCTGACACATTGACAGGTGTACAACGCCTCTCCCCAGCTGCTGTGGGAAGGGAGCTGCCAGGCCCCAGACACACCACAGTAGAATGCGGAAGGAAAATGTTCTCATGTGCACAACAGGTCCCTGCCTCCTTCCTGCATGTTACCTGCCTGTCTGGGGTGTTGGCTTCCTGGGATTTTTTTTTAGCAACATCAAAGGGCTACCCCTTTAAGTTTCAGCAGCCAGCTTCCCTGCCCGGCCACACAAGCAGGTACTTGGGTCACGCAGCTAGGAGTATCTATGCACGGGGCTGGCTCTCTGCTACCTTTCCAATCTGCGCAGAGCCCAGCGTCGGATTCTCCAATCCCCGCCTCACTGGCAACAGCCACCCGTCTCCCACTCCCATTCTGAAGTACCCTAAAGACCCGGGATCACCAACTTAAAGCACTCTGCAAAATGAACCGCTTTTAAAAAGCGTAGACCCCTCCCCCACGCCCCAGTACAGAAAGCACCTCATCGGGTTACTGTGCTGTGTGCTCCTAGGACAACCGAAAACCCCTGCTGGGCTCCTAGCACAAACTCCAGAGGAATCAGGTGGCAGGACAGGCCCGGCGCTCCCACTGGGCTATTTTAATTCAAGCCCGTGCCTCCTTCGGTAGTGGCAGTACCATCCCTCTCCTGCGTCTCAATAGGCTTCATGCAGCGTCGATGGATACTTCATCTTTCTTATCATATCAAAACCAATCCCCTTCCCTCCCCACTCCCACAAACGAAAGCCCCGACGGAAAACAGCCCCGACACAATAGGCCTCCACCCCAGCACGCTTCTCGGCTCTGTTCTCCTTCAGTGGCTTGACTGCACGGCCGTTCGAGCGGCAGCATCATTTAGCACCCCCTCCCAGCCCAAATGGCGCGGCTTCCTTCTCAGGTCAGCCCTTTTCCTGGGCCCTGTGCCAGGGAAGGGCTGCAAAAGACCCTTTGCAGGCTTTGGGTGGGGGCAGTAAGGAGTGAGGCTGGTAGCATTTGGTCACTGTGCAGACTCCAGCAGAGAGAAAGGGAGATGAATTCGACAGTGGCATCTAGGGAGGAAATAAGAAAGAGAAAGCTTTAATACCCAGGTCACTCATCTACCACGGCCCCGGTCAAGCGGCCATCAACATGTCCCTCCCACTCATGGGGGATCACGTCTGGAGCTAATGAATCCCCAAGGGAGACGACGGGCTCCACTCTCTCACTTGTCTGGAGAATCTCAAAAGGCTTTGTGTTGTCAGCCCTCGTAATTCCTGCTTCACTGCACCCCATTACGGGGCCACTGATGTAATGACAGCCTGGCCATTGAGGGAAATGGGGTGGGGGAACGTGATGAAATGTACCTGCGTCCACATCCCCCACACTGTTGTAATAATCTTTGTACTATGTATGCCTTATGCAGTATCATCTGAAAACTCATAATTTGCTTGTCCTGATAAAATGTGTGGGGCAACATTGTATGTGAAGTTCGAGGATTCCACTGTATTGTGGTGTTAACACTTGTTCCATGCTGAGGTTGGCAGACAGGTCTGTCTCAAAGAAAGGAATGTGTGCTCTGCTAAATTTGCATTTAAGCAATAAATAGAGTCATCAAGCAGAAAGGGAAACAAAGAACGGTCAACCAGGTGAGGAAAAAGCAGCAGGGAACATCCTTCCATAGAGACACTCTTGTCTCCTGACTCTCAGCTGGAAATGGTTTTCAAGAGGGGGACTGACACTCTAAAAAGGAGGGACAAACACCCAAAGATGACCCCTCTCTCTCCTCCTGCCCATCGCATTCACAGCACCAGAAGTGACCAAAGAAGCATTCATTGAACTCTGAGAGAAGGGGTCCTGACCTAAGAAGTTTGGCCTATAAGGCTGCTGAAATCATATGGTGAGAATATGATATAGTTTGTTAGGTTAGGTACCAGTTGTGTTTTAATTTTATTAATTACAAAGAGAGAGATTTTAGGTGAGTACAAGTAATGAGGCACGTAAGTTAGAAATGGTTACAAGAAAATAAACTTATTTTATTGTTTTATCTAATCCAGCGTGTTTAAACTGAAGCATTTGGGGTAGCCAGTTGGGTGCATATTATTTCTATTAAACAGCTAAGAGACTTTATGTAAACTTGTATTGTCCAGGAGAGGGCTGGGCAGTGCAGGACATAAATTTCTTGGGGAAATCTAAAGCTGGGAGTGTGTTGTTGGTCACCCTGCAATATAAGCAAGGCTGGTAAATGCGATAGGGGTGGCTGGCTGGCTGCAACACACACGCAGACATTGCTGGGAGTGACTTGCGTGCTGGAGGCTGTTTTTGAGCCGTCCAGGCTGGAGGCTACAGCAGCAAAGCACTGCAAAGGGCATCCTGGGTTACACAGCAGAGGTGGCCCAGCTACTCATTAGTCTAGATTGTACCCTGGGACTGAAGGCTCTGCATTCTTGCCTTGCAACAGGTACAGACCATGAGGGCTGGTCTGGAAACTCCCAGCAAAATTACACTGGAGCAAAAAATGGAAGGAAAGTGGGAATTTTTTGGAGACGGGGGAAATAATTCCCATTTTCCCACCAACTAGCTCTTAAAAAACCAACCACACAAGTTTCCAAGGGGCTCATACATACAGCCTGGGGCCAGATCTCATGTTCTGTATACAATGAATGAACCAGGTGTTTGTCTACCCAAACCCAGGCTTAGGAAAAGCTTGATTTTCATATACCTGGCTCTGCAGGCCAACCACTCCCTTCTGACTCTGCCAGATAAACAGGCTTCAGAGACAAACATCTGCTTGTAAAACGGCAGCAAGCTGCAGCCACTGCTTATCTTGCCTTTGCAATCCAATGGAGGCAAATGAGTTTCCCCGTGAGACACTGGCAAAAATTATCTGTGACTTGGTTACTTTAGTAATTACAAGATGCTGAGCTGCTCTAAAACTACATTAAGGCCTTGCCCAGAGAGGGGGTTAGCTACACTATTTTAGGGATGGTCCATTTTTTAAACTGACCATACGTAGCCACGCCATGGGCAACTTTTGGGCAACTTTTACTAAGATTTTGCAGGTTTTTGAACTGTGGTTTCTAGAGGCCCAAAGAGTTCATACAGGTCAGTCTAAAATAGTCAGCGTGCAAACCCAGCAATGTCCATGCTCAAGGAACTACAATCGGCCTCACTATAAGATGAAACTGACCAAGCTGTTTCACTGCCCCCAGCAGAGAGAGAGAGCAGAAGGGATAACAGTAAATTATATTTTATAAATGTTTGTAGTCTAAGCTTGATCTCCATTTCTGTTACAACACATTTCTATTAAGCGATTAACCCAGCTCCTGATTTGCATTTATACTGCCCTTATGAGTGGAGGTTTTGGGAGTTTGCATTTGCTTCTCTGCATTGATTCTGCTAGTCGAGACCTGATTCCTGTACAAGTGTCAAAAGTTGGCTAAGCCAATTTTATGTTGTCTTATTACAGTTATGGAAACTTTTCTGTATTAAACACACAGAATAAGCGGGGTTGCGGGGGAGAAGAGGAAAGGTGAGAGTTTTGTCTTAAAAGAAGTACTTGATTAGATCTCATCTGGGACACGAAACGGGAAGAGGGCAGATTCCCGTGCCTATATAGCTCCTCCCTGCACAGCGCTGACAAAAGTCTCTTATTTCATGGGTCACTCACTGACCACTGGAGGCACACAAATCAGCTGAAGGGCTGTGCGGTGGGAGAGATTAGGCTTTTGCTTTTTAAGCTGCTAATCATGGTTGATCCCCGGAATTACTGCTTGCGATCAGCACTAAATTAATGTCCCACTGTATTCTTGGACGGGACGCGGAGATCCTCCTTGAAAAGTATGCTGATGCAAACCCCCTGGGGCTTAAACGTGGCCATACTGGAGGCCAACCTTTCTGCAGGAAACCATTCATTGCTGTTATGTTTGTTATGTTTTAAATTAAAGCAGAGCTGGAGCTTTGGGACCAGGCTTTTTCAGGTATAAATGGCCATTAGGTACCCACAGCCCACTGAAAACCGTTGCGAGTTAGGTTCCTGACTTCCATTTGTGCCTTTGAAAAGCTCCCATTTGTGTGTCGGCACCTTCCAGCTCTTAACCCGTGGTTGACAAGCCTGGTGCTTGTGCTTTACAAACCCATGGGTTTGATTTCTGGGCTTGGTCTCACGCCCCTGCATCAACTGTGTTTGACAGTGGGGGCAGCACATGGTGTCCCTAAAGGGTCACTCAAAACCACCCCTCTAGACGTATACGGGGTAGTATTGATGGACTCCTTGCTATGTTTTCCTTGCTCAGAATGGGGGTGACTGTAAGGATGGATTGTGGGAAAACCCTTAGGGCTCCCACCAGGGTCACAGGGAACACTTCTAGACAAATAGAGTTAGCAGCCAAAGATGGCAAAAGTTCCCATACCCAGCTTCTGGCAAATAGAAGCTAGGGACACCATCCCTGACCATCCTGGCTATTAGCCATTGATGGACCTATCCTCCATGAATTTATCTAGTTCTTTTTTGAACCCTGTTACAGTCTTGGCCTTCACAACTATGGAACTATGGCCACTAAAGGACAAATGCAGCTTGGCCTTTGGCTTGGTACGTACCAGTGTGGAGGGAGAAGGACCAGGGGGTAGTTGCTTCCTTCTGAGAACTCTGGTCCATGGGACTGCATAAAGGGCAGTAGCAATCAAACCCCTGCTATGGGGTAAAGCAGAGAGGTGACTGGGCCAAAACACTCCACAAGTTCAAAAGGATTAAAAGTCTATGGGTGGCTGGTTCTTCCCACGATGGAAAAACAGGAAGTGCCTCTGAACAGAGCTTTCCAGAGAGAATGGGTCAGATTCTCGGGCCTGTCCTGCCCCTACTGAGCGAAGGGAGTGGAATGCAGCTGGGTCTCCCTTGCACTTCCCGTGAGCCAGCATAGCCAGCCGCTCATTACTCCCAGCCACACAATGCTTCTCCCAGTGTAGAGAGTGAATCAGGGAGGGGGAGGAATTTAGAGGGGGTACAGCAGAAGAATGCTGCATTCTGACTATCCCTGCTTGGCGGATGGTCCTTAGGGGCCACAGCCAGCTGGTGTACTTTACAGCAACCCCCCTCCCCACCCCAACTGTCCTATTCTACACTGGGGCTGGGGACAGCAGAATCCCATATTCAGCAATCTGCAACTGACTCCCATGAACCCCCCAAATGCTCTCAGTGGGAATATGGACCAATACATGTAATGTCCTGGAGACGTCCTCTCCAGATTCCTAACCAGCATTTTGGATTGACCAAATTAGAGACCAACTCCCAGAGCACCGTTCCTAGCTTTTGCCCAGGGCCCAGTATCAGTCAGGGCAAGGTGTACAGCTGATGCACTGTGGGGTACACAAGCAGGGCAAACCTCTTCCAGTGTGGCTTCACTCTCAACTCTGTGTGTTTGATTTAAAGGAGCTGTCAGAAATCCAGGACAGAGGCCACCACAACAAATTAGGTTTAAAAATAATGGGATGAAAAAGCTAAAATATATCAGGGACAGGACACCACCCAGTTAGCATGCCTGCGCTTTTAAATGTCTTATTTCTTTGGGTTACTAATAACCCATCAGAGGTAACAAGCCCCAAAACCTTGAGTTCTCTACCTTGACTTTACAGTGGCTCTTTGCAGATCACTCATCTTGTATAATGTGGCCGTGCTCGTCAATTTCACTTCCTGGTTTTCATACACTAGTTTGAGATTGCGGACAACTGGGGAATGTTTAAACCTAAAAACTGTTCTGTCTGGAAAGTTTTAAATTTAATTTAAAAAAAAAATCATAAAGAAAACTGCCCTGGTTAGTGGGTTTCGCGCAAGCAGGGCATAAACTCCCTATCCCTTGCAGAGATCCCCAAAGCAAAATTGAATTCAAATTGAAATTTTGAGCAAAATTGAATTCAGTAGATGAAGCATCACAATCCCTAGCCCCATTCCCATGTGGATGCCTGGCATGGTGTTTTACTGTTCACCAGCTCACTGAGAAAATTAATTTTCAGCTCTAGGATGGCTCTTGAGGGGAGGCCCCATTGCCCCGAGCTGAAAATGATGAAGACCTCATACTCTTTGCTGCGATATTTAATAGCCGAGTGGCAGTTAATTAGATTACTGAGCCACCGCAACAGATGCTAGGCAACCCGTGAGGAAGGGAGGGGGTATTTGGAAAAGCTATTATCATTCAGTGCAGGGAATGCACAGTACAATCCCATGTTAACCCCTCACATCCTTGCTGTGCCCTACAAAACGGTGCAGCCGGGTCAAAGCCAGACACGTCTCAAAATCTTACAGCAGCCCAGTGTTTTGGGTGCTTTTTCCATCATGCACCAAATGTCTATGAAAAGCAGGCAGCGGGCAAGTTGGGCAAACTGTACACGAAGATGCCAGCAGCTCCTTCTTTGATGCCAGCGGTACAGGCAGAAGAAATTGAAGGGGGAAACACTGGAAGGCTGCTGTAATGCCACCCTGTTGCATTTTTCCCCTGACATGTCTGTGACACTAAGTGTGAGGCCAGGGAAACAAGAGGGCGTTACAGGGCTTGGGCATCATTCTTTCCTCCAGGTGTAAAATTAACTTTAAAATTAAAGGAGAATTTCAGCGCAGAAGAGGATCCTCTCTGGAGTCCCTCATCCACCTTTTTGGGATGAAAACCCTATAGAGGAAATTTGCCAATCCCCCAAACCACCGCAGGAGATGCTTCCAGGTTCTCTCATTTGGCTCTTAACAGGCTTCCAAACTTACATGGAGGGATGCAGATGTCCCAGTGGTAGAGGAATCTGTGCAGTCAGTTCCAGAAGTGGTGCTAGATTTGCTGCAAAGGCAGCATTATTCCCCAGGGAGTGCTGCCCAGATCAATACTTGGTTCACAACAAACATTGGGAAGGATTTTAGGAAGTGCCACCTTTCACTGGGGAACTACATCCTGGCACAGATTGAGCAGGTGCCGACATACGCAGGTTAGTAATTTTAAGGTTAAACCATTGACCAAAATCTTGCAATCGGCACAGCAGCCAAATGTCCCACTGTAGATGAGTGGGTGGGAGCCAGATGCCAGGCTTCCTGTCCAAGTTTCCACTGCCCCTCATTTCAAACAGTGCTTTCCCTGTTACTCTGACCAACTGGGGAAAATAGCCTCAGAATTTATGTACCTGGGGTCAAATATCAACATCTTTCACAGCCCATCCCCGCATGCACACACAGCAGTGCAGCAAATGCATTTTTCTTCGGGTTATTACATCCCCTTCCCTCCCACTCACGTCTTGCACAGGAGTCTGGTGGTTTTCAATTTGATAGGGGACTGCTCTGGTGACAAATCTACATCTGATCCCTGGGAAATGTGCCATGGCTTCTGTGCTTCTCCTGCCCTATCCACTGAACGGTATGCACAACCTAACTTTTGTTACCCCTCACAGACATCCATGCCCTCCCTCCCAGCATGCCAGGGGTTAAGTCATTTTAATACCTACCTATCAGATAGTCTGTCCCCTGTGCAGGCATCTGGGTAAGTATTTCATACTATGCCTTTCTTAAGTGCTCATCACCACAGTGTCTACCCTACCAGAAGGTGCTGAATACAAGTATTATTAGAGTCATGATCGGAACATATTCTCTGTCTCGCCCTGCGACACAAGTGGATGGCCTGCACTCTAAGCCTCCAAGATACTGAAGGGGCCAGCTTGAAATAGTTATGGTATGAAAGCAGAGAGGTATCAACCTACAACGGCCTGGGCCTACTTGGCCTTCTATCTGTTTATCCCTCTCTGTTTCAAATGTAAACACAGGGAAACGGTGGCATTCCCAGGAGCAAGTTTAGATCCAGCTGTCTTGACATGGGGCGTTGATGCAGATTTTAGGTGGCAAAGGTGAAGTATCAGGTTAAAAATATATATAATCTTACCCGGTTAAGCTCCTGAATTCTGGGCCCAAGCCAATGCCTCTCAAGCTGGCAAGTGCTTCCATGTGCTGACGAAAGCCGTGGGGATGAGTGAGTACGGCACTGTTGTTATACAGTTCCACGTGTCCGAGGTAGGGTCATAACAATCTAGCGTTTTACACCTCTGAGTCCCAAAGTAACCCCCCACCACGTAAAGCTTATTTCCCGAGGCCAAGGCGTGGCATGACATGCGCTTGGCAGTCATGTCCCCGATCCGCGTCCACTGGTCCGTTTCACAGTCGAAGCGGTAGGCGGACGCAGCGGTGAATTCAGTGTCCCCGCCCATGATGAAAATCTGGCTGCCTAGAACAGCGGCGGCAGTGTAGCGCCAAGGTTGGGGGCACTCTGCTTTGATTGCCCACCGGTTCACGACAGGATCGTAGCACTGGACTTTGGACACCATGTCCCGGTGGATGCTGGTCCCACCAAAGACAAAAAGCTTCAGCCTAGCACTGACCACTGCAGCATTGCTGACTCCATCCCTTAGAGGGGCCACCATGGTCCATTTGTTGGAGGCAGGGTCATACTTCTCTACCTGCTTCAAGGAAACAGAAGGAGATGCCGGAAAGACACCAGCCACCGCAGTGTGCCCACCAACCACGTAGAGGCAGTTCTCCAGTTCAGCTGAGCCGTGCCCAAACCGAGCTATCAGCATGGGAGCAGCTTTGGACCACTCCTCATGAACCGTGTCATATACCCAGACGTCTTTGGAGACCCCATTCTCTGAGCCCCGCCCGCCAGTGACATAGACTTTGCAGCCAATGGCACAGGCACTAAACTCTTTCCTTGGGCTTGGCAGGTCTGCTTTGGGGATGATCTCTTTTGCCTTTTGATCCACCTGGTAGATCTTATCACACATGAAGGTCTGCCCGCCCAGGATCAGCAAGGTGTGCCCAGCTTTGCGGGGCCTGGCACAGGGGCTGGTGACCACCCCGTCATTCTGGAGGATCTTCTTCTTGCAGTGCATGGCCTCGTCCATGATGAGCTTGTTCCTCTCATCTGCCATGATCAGGTCCTCGCACGCCATGGCTTCCTTGAGGCACTCGGAAGGCAACAAGGCCAGACGCACGTTCCTCAGCAGCTCTGGGAGATGCATCTTCCGCTTGTCCAAGTCATACTTCACCCACTGAATGATGGCCCTGAAGACCTTCTCCTCGTCCTCTATCTCCAGCTCGTCACTGGAGATCAGGTCCAGCAGGGTGTCCTTGGAGAGGTTGTTGAAGTCCTCGCTCTTGTGCACTGTTTCAAAGTTCACCAGGCACATCCTCCAGGACAGCTCGTAGAGTCTACGGCACTGATGAACGTCTGAGAGCAGCATCATGCCCAGGCAGTTGGAAGGGTAGAGGTTCTTCTCGAGGAACTCAGCCGCTGCATCTCGGACGTCGTGGAACTGTAGCATGTCCCCAGCCTCCAGCAGGGACTCTGCATTCTCCTCGTTGATGATGATCTGGGAGGAGTACGCGAAGTCCAGCAGCAGCTCCAGCACCTCTGGGTGGAGGCTATCATGGAAATTCACCTCATCGTCTACGCTCTCCCGCAAGCCGTTGCTGAACATGGCCTCGAAATAGCTGCTGGAGGCGGCCAGCACAGCCCGATGGCACGGGAAGGACCTGTTACCTGCCCAGAGGGTGACGTCAGTGAACACGCAGCTCTTCCGGAAGGTGTTGAGATGGGACAGGACGCAGTCTGGGTGGGAGGTTTTGTGGAAAAGCAAGATGTTCATAGAGCCAGTGCTCGTTCGGGATTTACGGTTCTCGTGGACGCTGACCGACATGATGACAGAGGCGCGGTCTGCTGAGGAGTGAACAGAAAATAAACTAATTAGTGGTGCTTATAGAGGAGAGAAACTAGCACTAGCTAGAGCCAGCAGCAGAGTGTGGGCATCTGCTGTGCTAAATTCCCTCTCCCCACTGATCTGCCAACACAGCTCAAACCTACTCTGGTGTCCCAGCACTGAGCCCTTCCCAATTCTGCCAGTGCTCCTGAATCCTGACCTGCAGCACCCCCCAGATATTCCAGCCACAGAGCACCCTGTAATGGCTTGCTTATTCTTCTAAAATGTATTTTTGGGTAATCATGGCAGAAACAGAGAATTCGGCACTTTGGCTTCAACAAGGAATAAGCGTAATGCAGCAATGAAAGCCCCAAACTAAATGGCAAATTTTCTCAGTCCCTGGAGGGCAAACACACAAACCGTGCAATGTTTATTTTTCCTTGTTAAAGAGAACAGTCTATTTAGGGTAAAGGGCTGGGGCCTGTTCTTGGCTCAGTTCATGTCATGTTGGCATCTGGTGGGGAGATTACTACAGGTTTAGGAAAGGCAATTGCAACCGTATTCATTTATGGGGTATCTAGCTAATAGAGGGAACCAAAGATTTCAACAGACTTTGCAAAACCCTTCTAATTCTACTTTCTGGCTGATGAATCTCAGCAGACTCTTCCACATGACTTATCTACTCTGTAGAACAGGCAGGCTTCAGGGAATATGACAAAGCTCAGTGTAGACGTTCCTCCTTGGGCTGGAACCTGGACTCTGAGACCCGGTGAGGGGGATGGGTCTCAGAGCCCATGAGAATGTCTACACTGCTCTTTTAGCCCCATAGCGCAAACCCAAGTCAGTTGACCCAGGCTCTGAGACTCACTGCTGCTGGGTTTTTTGCAGTGTAGGACATACCCACAACACCCTGCCAATCTACTAAGATCGAGAGCGATGGAGTCTGGATGATGGAATTTGATAAGTTGCTTGGTCTAAAATATCAAGGCTGCATTTTCAGTCAGTCTGCATTTTTCCACCTGTATCCAATGTGCAGGCACAACTATGCAAGTGATCCTATTCCGCAGGTGTAAATCAGGTAATTGGTAGGCTGACTGACTGATTTGTATTTTGTAAACATAAAAAATCCTGAGGCTAAGACTGGGAAATTTAGTCCATAATTTACAAAGTAAATGCAGAAGGCACATCCATCAGCGTTGCTGGAAAATAACATGTTTAAGAGAGAAATTGCAAGTCACTAAAAGCCAGTCTGTCAGTTCCAAAGAATATAAGAAGAGCTAAAGAATACAGTTTGGAAAAGAGATTGAGAGAGACAGACAGACAGATAAGACTGCAGCCACACAGAGGCAGCTTCAGTTGGACAAATCACCCCCGTCTCCCCTTTACCATATTGAGCAACTAGCTCATAGGTCAAAGCCCCAAAACAAAACCACACAACTGCCATGCTGATGTCATCCCATTACAAACATCCTGTTGCTACCGCACCCCCACAGTGTCTGTTATTAAGGACTTGTAACAAACGTAAAGAGGTGACTCGGTCTTACCAAAAGTCAAGCATTGTTTCATTTCATTTTGCAAAAAAACATCACACACACACACACACACACACACACACAGAGCTAGAGTCTGGGTTTAGGGAGCAGGCAGGCAGTCCAAACATGATAGATAGAAATGGGGCCAAGTTGCAAAGGTCAGATGCAGATCTGCGTTCCCTTTTGCACCTCTTCCACCCTAAAAACCTCTCTGTAACTATTATTCTGCTTTTTTAGCTAGGGACAAGGTACCACCAACCCCGAGCATTCAAAAACACCATAAGTCAGGCCCCAAAATCATGAGATTCTTTAAAAATCATGAAACATAAAAAAATGTTGATTTGCAATAATGATTTGGGGGGCTTTTTATTTGCCTTCTAGTTGTATGAGCCCTGAGCGTGCACTCAGCTCATATTTTCAAGCTTTTCTCTGTAATGATAAGGGTTAGAAACTTAGCTTTCATGGGGGGAGAGGGAGGAAAGAGTGAGATTCTCATGACACCTCTCGATTCCAGCAATTGGGACATTAAGAAAAAGCAACAAGTACCGCAAGAGTTGGAAAAACCCTGAATTAATAAAATCTCCGGTTCATCATGAAGCCAACAGGCCCCTGCCCTCCCAAGTCAGCTAGATCAGGGTACGGTCTCAACACTGCCAACGGAGCTCACGGTTCCGAGTCAGCTGCTAGGCTCTGACACATCCCACCTAGGGGAGATGGTCAAATCCGCAGCTCACGTCGGAAGAGTCAACAAGACCTGGATGACAACTGGGTCGTGTATGCATGCTTTGCTGGCTTGATGAGAGGGAGAGTACATAGCATGACCCGTGATTTACAGGGCAGGAGTCAAGCAAGGAATTCTGAATAACCGACCTTGGGTGAGAGGCGATGACCTGTCAGAGGCCAATGACAGGTTAGCAGCCCCACAGGACACAGAGCTGACACATTTCAGAGGAGCAGCCGTGTTAGTCTGTATCCGCAAAAAGAACAGAAGTACTTGTGGCACCTTAGAGACTAACCAATTTATTTGAGCATAAGCTTTCGTGAGCTACAGCTCACTTCACCGTGACCTCCCAGAAACGTGAAGCAGTTCAACACTCTCATGCTTCACGGAGCCTGGATGCAGATAAGCCAGACACAGGCTCAACCACAAGCTGCCCAGACACTTTCCAACACCTCAAACAAAACATAAATAAATCCTAATCAATAGGAATAATTCTGAGTTGTGTGTTTTCTGCCTCTCCCCACCTCCTTTACAGTGTTCTACAGGACAGATGTAAATGGGCCAAGTTACAGGCCCTGGGGAAGTCTCCCTAGGCTTCCCAATCCCCAAACAGTACAGCGTAAATAACACAGAGTCGCTGCAGCTGTGAGATCTTTGACCCAAATCATGCTGCTATTGATTATATTTTCATTCAACTATTTGACACTCCCAGAGTCCTAGCAAATATCCCCAAGGTCCCAGGCTGAGACCGCAATACTCATTTGACTTGTGAGCAGAGGCAATTTTCAATGCAGGGCTCCAGAACTGGGCAGGAAATCACATTTTTAAGTGGCTGAGCCGAGCTGCAAGGGGAAATGTTTCTAGCATCATCAGGATGCTTATTCTGCACCCACCTCAGGGCTAGTACAAATTTCTAAGGGTTAATATGGATTCTAGTGACACAATTTTACAGCACCAAACTCAAAGGTGCTGAAACTAGCAGTGCTGGAAGCAGATTCCATTATATCCAGGGTTTACAGTTTGGTTCAACGACTCTCAGCACCCCCACAATACAAATTGTTCCAGCACCCCTGACCAAACTGGAGGAATACAGATGAAACATTTATGAGTCTGCTAAAAGCTATTGATTCCGGCTTCCCTTCCTCCAACCTCAGAAAACACCCTCCCAATCTATTGCTTCCTTTGAAGACCAGACCTGAGCAGTGAGTGGATGTGTTAATTTTCAAATGTGATGTGATAATCAAACCAAATGTTAAGCAATTCACACAGAATAGCCATAGAAACAAACAGAGGGGCCAGAAAGGGAAAGGGACAAGGTTAGCTTTTCCTGAGCCTGGAGGAGGAAAAGGCACCACTCAGAATAGAAGAAGGAGTGGCTAATTTATAAATTAAAAACACCTACATAAAATACAAAAGCTGCACCAGGCCACAGAGTTTTTTTAAATCCTATGTACAGTAGTTCTTAGGTGGGTAGGTAGTGGCCAAGTTACATTTCCATCCAATTGCTGCTTGGTGACCCACCAAAACTAGCCCTACATGGTTCCCTTTGTGGCAGAAAGAAAAAGAGTACTTGTGGCACCTTAGAGACTAACCATATGCTTTGTGGCAGAGAGGCCAAATGACTGAATGGGTACTGGATCATCCTTCCACCCTTAAAGATGGTCCCTTCAGCCAGGTGCAAGGTTATGACATCTACTGTCAGCTGGCCTTCTCACAGACAGCTGGGCTGGCCAATAAATGAGGCTGAAGCAGGCTGCAGAACTAGCGAGGGCCATCTCTAAGAAGCATCAAACTACCATACACCTGGGATTTTAAAAAAAGCCTGTAGCCTGCAGCAGCTTTCACATTGTATGAAGGAGTTTTTAGGAGGCAAGTGTTACAGTGGGACCTACTTACCTGCCCTCCTTTTAAATGGTAAAGGCCTGAAATCTTCTCAAAACACCTAGGATTGAATCCTCCCATGGCTGCGTAAGAGTAGAAATGTGGACGTTCTACTTCTTGCTCTCGAGCTGGGTGTAGCTCAGACTACCACAGAATGTGGCACGATGGACAACCCCCGCTTTCCCAGGGCTTTCCCTAGCCCACCAGTAATGTGCGATAGCCCTTGATACACATCAGACGAACAGAAATTGTAGACAACAGCAATTTTCCCGATTAGTTTCTTCCCAAATTCTGCAGCCGTATGAACCTTCAAAATCTGTAAGTGAGGTGAACCCCTCTGCTGCTTAATCAGAATATGCCCAAGGCTAGTCTACAGTTAGCAAAGCACTTAAGCAGGCGCTTAACTTAAGTGCATGTTTAAATGCGTTACTGAATAGGGCTTGACGTAAGCATATGCTTACTATTAAGCACACCCTCAAGAGCTTTGCTGAAGCAGAAACTTATAGAGTAGCATTTGGCCCTAGGTTATGACAGAACATTTCACTGGCTTTCCTGATGAACGTATAGAGCTATCAAAGCAGATGGGGAACTCCAGATTAGGAATATTTTGCACTCAGAAATCTGTCAGTGTCCCTTTCCGATCTCCCACCTACTACGCAGAGCACAAAGGGCCATCTGAGAGCACAGCAGCCAGCGTCCTCAGGGTAGGATAGGGGCAGTCATTAGAATGGAAGCTATAGCTCAAATAGCCGAGGACCTGACCCGCGCAAAGTGGTTCTGGGATACACTCATACGTTGCAGTCATTTTGTCCTTTTAAAGGGAGTTATAAAAAAATAAATAACGATGGCACTGTCTTCACAGGATCTCAGGGCAGGCAGAGACAGA